CACTTTTACCAAGTGTTACACCACTCGATAACTTTATATTAAATTTGAATTTTGTAAATTCAACCGTTAGATTAAAAGTTCATATCACTTTACATGTGTATATCAAATTTTGTTAAAATTAAACAACAATTTGAAGGTGATCAAAGTGTTCATATTTTAGTATATTTTGAAATGAATATATTACGTCAATTTTGTTTTATAAAAATAAAGTATCAAATCATCTTGGATTAACATAAATTTTTGAATATATGATCTAAGTGATATGAACTTTCACGCTAACGGTTGGATTCACAAAATTCACATTTAATATGAAGTTATTGAATAATGTAACACTTAGTAAAAGTTACACCGGTATTATTATAACCTCTTATATATATATATATATATATTTTAAGGTGAAACAAACTTAACCATCGTAGAATATCCTTTTCCATTACTCATCTATGGTATTGATACTTAATTGGTTAACACGTCAACTAACATATAGGTTGAGAACTTGTCTAAGACATCATCCAAGATCATCTGAAACTGAGCAACCCACTTTTCACACTGCGATTGAACTCATCATACTTTACATAGTGAACTTAACTAACAACATCGGAACCTAATTATGTAAATAGTATCTCACTAGCGTGTTATAAACAATGCTTTAATTAAATACTTATCGAATATTTTGTTTATCATATATAAACACTTTCTCAATCGAATATCGAATATAACAAAAAGGAATTATTTGTTAGTTTTAAATATAAATAAATATCAATTACTTTTATTCTATTTAATGATATTATTTTAAAATATTTTTTATTTAATCAAGATTATATTTTCGATGGTCATTTGAAAAATAAATATGTTATTTTTTAAAATAAGATTAATGGAATTAAATGATGTTTACTAACTTTACTAATTAGCATAAATTAATTTGTTTATTTTTTAATTATATTCGAGACAAGGAATAGTATCAATCTATAAGTTGTTTCTATCAAACATGAAATGAAATATTTTTAAATTGTTTTCATATAAATTGTAAGTTATCCTAAAGAGTCAATCGAAATATGGCAAAAATAAATCGTAACTTATTTTTATAAGTCTTCTTAAATGTTAAATTTAAGGAGATAGTTTAGTCATAATCAAGTTCAAAGATTATAAACAAACTTTTTCACACACAGCCTTAGAAATTGTGGTTTTTTTTTTTTTGTTACATGAGATAAGTGTATTTATAAAGTCAGTTAAATCAATCCTTTTAAAATTTGTTCTTAAAAAGATTGGACTTTATGTAATTTAAAAAATATAATTATTAAATTTTAACATAACGTTTCAAGATACTATAATTATTAATAAATTTTGAACATATTAACCTAAAGTCATTAATTTATTGTAAAATGCCTTTTTAAATGTTTTTAAACCTCGATTAATTTTTAGAGAGGTCAAATCATACCGTAAAATATTCATATTAAATTTTAAAAGTGGGAAAAAAAAAAGAAGATCAAACTTAATCTAATCGAGGCTATTGTTAGCTTTGGCCTATCGGAATGTAATTAATGGTATAATTAGAGGAAACGTAATTCAGAACAAAGCATAAGCACTGCAAATTCGAATATACCCATCATTCACCAAATCTTAGTGATATTGTGAACTTTTACATTATTGAGATCCACTTACTCGATGAGATGAAAATTTTAATGATCCGAAGTCTTCCTAAAATAATGTCAGTATCACAAACCATCGTCAAAATCACATCACAAAAACATTAATACATGACAAATCAAGTCAACTCTTGGATGAGGTCTCTGCTGCCGGAAAGCCGAGAAGAAAAAAATGTGAGTTTATACGGACTCAATCCTTTATAAGATATTAAGATAGAAATTACACTCACATTTCAAGGGAAGAAAAAAAAATGCTACAGTGTCATTTCCTCAAGATCTGTGTTGATCAAGATTCTTTACTGTTAAAATTTTAAACCGCGAAGATCAGAACCTTTAAAATTATTTCTTTTTTCATTAAAATAAAACATAATTTTATTTTTCAATACTTAAGCAGCGTTGGATTATAACTGCATGGGGTGCAGTTAAATTCCAAACTCTAGAGGATCCAATTCTGGGTTGATTCAAATGAAGTGGAAGAGGTTCAACATGAGTACTGAAGAGAGGATTGAAGAAGAAGATGAGAATTTTCCTATCATCTTATTTTTGTTCCCGTGGCATCCATTGTTGGATACTAGGTGGCATGCCATTTAACAGTTACATTAACTAACCCGAGTGACGGTTTGCACGTTCAATAATTTATTTATGAATTTTCTTAACTTTAGAGACTCATGTAAGTTGTAACAACACTTAATTATTTTGAGGACCAAAATGTAGTTGCGCGGAAAAGACAATGATTTAGCATTGGAAATTGTGTCATGTTGGTTGTTTCTAATTTGGAGTACCGTCCACTCATGGTAACTGAAAATGCACATTATGGACTCCACTATTAGAATCGGAAAGAGCAGTGATCTAATAAATAATAATCTAATACTACTGTATAGCATGTGGGGTGTTGCTGCAATTTGAATTGTATAGCCAAATCATATCTAATGTTATATATATATAAGAAAATATGGAGGGTGTACATCTAGTTAAGAGATATTGAGGAGAAATAAAAATTTATAAAGTATATAAATATTTAATTAGTAAAAAAATTTAAATAATGAACAAAAGTAAAATTATAATAATATAGTTCTAAAATGGATAATATTTAATTAATATGGAGTTGTAGATGCAAATAATGGATAAAATAATAAAATATAATATAGTTTTTTTTATAAATATATTTCCTTAAAAATAAATAGCATAAAATAACCTTAATAAGGATCACTATAGACTTCAAGAGACATGAGAAAGATATCATAAAATAACTGTAATAAAAATTACTATGAATTCAAGAGATGTGAGAAAAATAGTTCAAGCTCACGAAATCATTTTTCTGACAAATCTTCTCAATTGAGTCGATCGATGAAATGTATTCTCATGTGTTATATTCAAACAGAAGACAATGCTAAAATATGAACTTATATGGGTGAAAAGAAGAGATAGAGAAAAACAAAATAAAGAGAATTTGATAAAAGAAATCAGATATGAATTGATGAAAAAAAAATGAGGTGAGAAAAAGTTAATCATTAAAATACTCACAACTTTTGAAATAAAACGCATCTGATAAAAATTTGGAAAACAAATTAGCATAATAAATGGATACAAAGTAGAAATGATGTTCTTGAAATTGTTGTAGATCACTTGGTACTAAATTCAATTACGATTAATAAAAAATACAAAGTACTTCCTTGGATCTCTTTTACGAGACTTAGTTACTTAATTTTTAATTTAAAAAAATAGTTGATTTAATTAATAATATTAATTTTGTCCTTATTTTATTTTATTTTTTTTAAAAAAAGTATCCTTAACATTAACTAGACTCTTATTAATACTCTACTAACTATATATTGAATTAAAAGAAAATACTTTAATTAAAGATATTCCTTATAAAAATAATTAAGGTAAGAGGTATTTTTATTTTAGATTAGTTTTTATGAAAGTATGACCAAACAATACTTTCAAATTAGATCTTACAAAAATGACGGGTGGGAGGTAGCAAACAAAATATGTATTTACACTATAAAAACTGCATGTTGTTAAAGTTAATAATAAATTATACATATTTAGAAGCCCTAATCATATTGATATAGATACAAGATTAGAACATACATCACATGAGTAAAGGAAAAAAAACATACATATGGTTTAACTGATATAAAGAATAGGTTCGTCTCGTTCATCATGAGATCCGATTAAATCATACAGGAAACTAGAATAAGAGAAGATTAATTTTAGAGAGTTTTTGGGTCTGAAATCATTGGCAGGTGCTAGCTGATAAGTTGGGCTGGGAATGATCCAATTGAAGCATTTTATCTTTCTCTCAGTTTTGGTCACATAATTGGTAATAAAGATGAATGGTCAACCCCTAGACTACACCAACTCCCTTTAGAAGCTAGGGACAAGAAAGATGCACAAATACATTTGGGTCACGCAAAGTTAAAGAATGTATCTGTCCATTTGTCCCCTTAAGCAGATAAGGTTACCCTCACATTCACCTAGTTAGGCACCTCCCCAACCACAAGGACCATCAAATTGCTTTCTACTCATACTCATACATGCAATGCTCCTTCACTCTCCCTTTATGCTATCATAAACTAGTATTGCTCGCTTGACTTTGATTTATTCATGCAAGACTAGGGACACAAGTGTTCACACATGCAACAGTTATAATGATAATATGACCACGAGGTCAGGGAACACCAACGAGTAACCATTGCCTCATTTTACAACTAAAATTTGTGTAGAGCCTTTTAACAGGGATGATCATATGTAAGTTAAATAATTATGGATGTACTTGGTTATCCATTGGAAAGTGTGTTTTCACTCCTTAATGTATTAAATGTAAAAGTAACAAGGTAATTATTTTAAAGTGAAAGTAGGTTAATTAACTTGAATCGAATGTAAATTTTATTTCAACACACTATAAAATTAGATAATTCTTTAGATGTACTAAATTATCTAAAAATGTAATCAAAATACCTCTTCCAAGATTTGGTATAGTCAATTTGAGCACAGTTTTTGTATTTCAATTCAATTGATTAAGGACGCTGAATTATCCCCCGTTAAGATCAAATGATGGACCAGAAGCATCTTGCAAAAGTAGGCTCCAATAATTCGTTTGGTTTTTTCTTTTGATAATAATTTAGGTGACATTTTGTAAAAATCTAAAGTCTTCAGCATGTATCCAAACTGCCATCGTGAGTTTTAAACAAGTTATGCCACCAAGGAATTAACATTTAACCATAGCCTGCTTGTACTCTATGCTGGGAAGAAGAAAATACTACGTCGTAAGTTGAGAAATCGTGTTAATAGAAATTGAAAATCACACGATTTTGAGAAAAACATACAATTTTTTTACAGGCTCCCCACTTTGGTTCTTTACCACGTCGATGTGAATTATTGAGACATTGGAAGAAAAAAAATCCACCTACAAAAAGGGGCTTCAAAATACAAACCAAAAGTTAATGGTTACTCAACAGTAAATCATAAGTACACACATCCGTGAAGTTTCCCTTCCCTATTTATACAGCCCATAAACATTTCAAACCTTCATTAAAAAAAAAAAAAAACATTCATCACATTACTTAGTTGTAATGTATGCAGCTAGCTTCATTCCATGATCTTCACCAGCGAAAAGAACCAAAACGTCCAAATTACAAGAGTCTTCAAGTTTCAGCAGGGAAACAAAGCTTCAAACTGCGCTTCATTTCATTGCCGAATCAAGTGCTATCTTCTCTTGCTTACTGCCAACTGAAAACAATAACATTTCTTCAATTATTCACTCACAACATAAAACAAATAAATAAAAGACATGGAACTAGCTTTTCTCAAATATATAATATAATATAAGATTCCAACTCACGGGTAAAAGCAGAAAGCTCAGAACTCTTCAACACACGTAGCCTCTTCACTGTTGATACAAACATGCTGCCAAGCATATGTAGACATTAGAAAAACCATATAATAAACCATCTTCGCTGCCAAGTGCCAAACCAATCATAGTTTTCTAGCAATAACTAAATCGTTATATAAAAAAATATAAAAGGGAAAGGCCAATTGCGAGAGTTATTTAATATTTATAGTTTATTTGTATTTCTGAGAGGGGACAGTCGTACAGGTGTCTTCATGTGAAAGCACAGACATGCCATGGCATGTACTGCTTCGGATTTATTCACAACAATTGCCAAAAAGTTGTTTCATATAAATATATAGTAATTGTTAAGCACAAGGAATCTAACTAATATCTATTGCAGTTTTGAGATCAAGATGTTAATTCAGCATTGGCCCTCACACATCAAGTGGTGAAATATAATATTGAATAAAATAAAATAATAATAATGCATGAGAATGAGATAGATAGTGATGAGATGCTTACTGCCATGGCACATCCCCAACAAGCATCCTGTCTCCTTCATTATCCTCATAAACAAGAGTATACTCCCCTTTTCCATCCAATAAACCCGTAATCGCTTTCTCTTCCTCCACCTTGTTGTGAGCTCCACCAGCAGAGGAATCTCTTTGAGCTGAACAACAGTGGCAAAAAGACAAAATGAGATAACTTCACCAAGTTTCCTTCTTGACAATACCAAAATGGTCTAAAGGGCCAATTAGAAATTGTATTAAAAAACTTGTTTGGTGAAAAAAGATTGACTCTAAGCATTAAATGTTGAATTAATGTAGCCAACCCCCACGTACATAGCTAGTCATGAATTAAAAATAAAAACCTTCCTTTTGCTTGCTTAACTTACTAGTTCGGTAGCTATCACACAAAAGTAGGAAACAAAAAATTTCCACACAAGGAAGATCTATATCAACTCCAAGAGAATAAAGAATTGTGATAAAATTTGATCACATGTCACAGGCATTGAATTAGTGAGACAAAAGTTACCATTACCAGCAAGAAGGCCTCTGAATAGCTCGTCCACGGCAGAAGAGAGATTTTCATAGCTGTCGTAAGCATTGAGGTCCACTTTCCTCCCTATTGGAACTCCATCCATGTTGATCTTGACAAACAAGCCTTTACCATAGTTGTCAACAGGTTTTTTACCAGCAACCTCGTTGTGCTGTGATGACTCAGGAGGTGGCTTAGAGTTAGAACTGCTTGCAAGGTTCTTCCTGAAGGAACGAATTGGGGGCCACCCCACCACTGGAGCAGGAGCAGTTCTGTTTGTTGTGGGTCCACAAAGGAAAAAAAGTTATGTTAGGCATGAAAGTGAATAGTGAAACTGGTATGAACCAGGCTAAAAGTTTAAAATAAAATAAAAAAACAAAAACAAAAAACAAAAGATGAGGTGGGGCTAAAGAGCTCTCACTAGCACCACCCTGCCATCACTACTCATCACATTCACATATTTAGTATTGCATAATTGCATAAAACATATGTATATGTATTCTTGTTTATTAGTACAATTTAAAATTTAAATGAACAAGGAAAAAACAGACTTCCCCAGGAGGGACCAATAAATTAAAAACGGAGAGACAAAAGAAGAGGAGAGAGGGAAATAGAGACAGGGTCAGATATTCACATGCCAATGTCAAACCTCAAGGAGGATAACGAAGGCACATAATAAATGACAGATAGCATCAAAAAACCGATGTGGACATATCTGAGAAAACATGGCAAGCAAGTATATCAGAACAAAAACAGCCAGTACAGAGTACAGGGAGATCAAAGCTAAAAAAATTGTCCCTTCTTTATTTCTGAGGATGAGGATATATTGCCATATAGGTTGTAATTAATAATGGAAATCTCTATAGTTATTTCTTTCACCCAAAAGTGCAACAACGGGTTGTGAAACACTAGATCTAACATACGGTAACAAGTAGAAAGAAAGAGGCAGGGTTTGCATGGACCACAGAAATAAATATGAGTGTGGGAATGAATATCCTCTGTCCAAAAGTTACAAAACATGGATACAAGAAAGAAAAGTTGGAGTACCTTTTCTGAGAGGTGTTGGGTTGTGACACAGCTGTATTTGCAGAAGAGGGAGAGAACACTTTTGTATCATTATTCTGCAACTCTACCACCTTAGGGCAACAGGCCTGTGAAGCTAATGCTTCCTTTCCCATCACAGGTGGGGTTGATGGGAACTGAAGAAACGAAGAAGCTTTGTTGTGGTAGCTTGGCCATGGAGGGGTGGTATCCTTGCTTTGGAAACCATTTAGTATTGCATGAGAGAAGCATCCAAGAGAGAGTAGAGACTCTTCTCTTTCTGTGTTGCTTTTCTTCATTTTACCACTGTGAGACCATTCTTCACCACCGGGTGGACCTAGCCTCAGTTCAAGCTTTCTCTCCTCTGAACACTTTCCTTCGCTTCTGTTCATCAAATCCAACAGTTGAGGAGATGCCTCGCTTCTTGACCTTTCATCCATCATTACTTCACACTCGAAAGAAAGTTTCCTCCTTGCTCACCAAATATATATATGCAAGAAACAAAACAAAACAAACTCGACAACTCCTCACTGGTTCATGCAACAAAATAAAACACTTTAGTTAGAAACAAAAAGGTTTTAAAAAATATAACAAGATGATATAGGGGTTGGTGTTAGAGAAGTGAGATTCTTACATGACTAACCACAGTTTATAACCACGAAAAACCACATCCTTAGTTGTGAAAAAACGGATTCCTTACAACAAGTGGGAGACTCTGAAGCAAACTAACAGGAAGAAGGACCTACAATGAAACCTTAAAAGGTTTTAAGGTTTTGGGGAGTACAAAACGTTGGATAGGCTAAGGTTGCAGGAGGAGGAACCCAAGTAAGTATTATCACAGCTCAATGGAAACCCCACCAAGAGAGGAAAAAAAAAACACCCGAAAAGCAAAGGTGGAGGGAGCTATAATAGCATGGGATTGTAATCTAACTTTGGTTTGCTTTAAGTCTTTTATTTGCACGCTTAGTGGGTTCTCTCTCTCTCTATGTCTTTGCTCTTTTTAAGGAGAGAGGAAGGTTATATTTGAGAAGAGGCAAAACAAAAATGAAAAAGATTAAAAGAGAGAGAGAGAGAGACAGACAGACAGAGGGTGATAAAAACCAGAGAGATTCCCCTTAGAACACAAAACAGGAACGGAATTAGAGCAGAATGCACGCAACCTGAAGTCTCATAAAAATAACGTTAGGTTGTTTAGCACAGGAAGTAAAGCAGGCTGTGCTTGTGTTGTGTGTTTTGCTGACCTCTCCTAAAGATACTCTCACACACTCCCCCTATAGCCTTATACCCTTATAGCTCCTACTCCTATTCCTATTCCTTTTTCTTTCTTCACATCACACATCCCAAACACCCCCTCCCTTTATTAGTTCTTTGCTAGAAAATGACCTGCACTGTAATTTAACATTTTCTCCCTAATCAGTAATCACACTCACTCAATTTGATCATTTTTCCACTTTTTATTTTCCTTTTGGATCTGAGTCAAGCGAATTAGTTTACTTAAGCACTTGAAAGTCCAAAGAGAGGGACACTCACACTGGCACGCTCAAGTCCATGGTGGCATAAAGGGACAAAGTTTTACCCTTTTAGTAATGATGGTAATGCTAGCCCTTGTTAATTGGCTAATTAAATATTTGAATTTAATTTAAGGGCTAAAGAAAAAATATAAATTGAAAGGGTCTGAGATGTCAGGAAATTGATGGATGGGATAGCAAAGGTTGGTTTTTTGTTTTTATTTTGGAGGGAGAGGATTTGCATGATCCACATTTGCAGGGTTCTGCAATAAAAACATGCAGATCCCATGATCTTGTCTCCTCTGCACTCTCTCTCTCTCTCTCTCCGTCCACATATCCCCATATGATGAAAATTTCAGGATGCTGAATGAATGGGAATAGGATTCCCTGTGCCGCTATTCAACCGTGTCTGCTACAATCATCCTCTCCTTGCCGTTTGATTTCTGCCAATTACCATTGGGATTTGTTTTTGTCTATTCTAAATCTGACAAAAAGTTTAGTTTCTTTTTTTTTTCTCTCTCTTTAATTTTTCATGATAAAATACGAAAATAACAAAATTTTAAAAAAAAACTCTGTCTGCTGAAGTCTGCACTTAACAGCTCAAAGGAGAACTACTTTTGTTGCTTTTCCTTTTTGTTTAATGATAAAGGAATTATTTAGGTTATATTTGTTTTTTAATTTTGTCGGAATTAACTTTCTTGAAAAATATGTGTTTGAACAGACTATTAAAGTGAGTTAAGAAAAATTAACTTCATTAGATTAGATTAGTAAAGCATATTATCTTCGAAATTAATGTTAAAAAAGGCATTTTATTTATTTGTATGAGTGAACAAACCGCACTTTGTCCACGAAAAAAGGAAAAACCCTCACTTCATCATCGTCTTCTTTTCCTTTTCCGCTTTAACAAAAAGTATATAAAATCATGTCATTTTTAAGGTTTAATTTCTATGTTGTACTTCTGATGCGAATAGAATTTATAAATTCTACATTTGAAATTAGTTATATCTAATAAAAGTTAAACATGTTTATTTCTACTGAAATTAATTTTCTTCCCCACAAAGTAAATTACAATCCATCAACATACTATAAAAACCAAATGTAGTGCACCGAAGTGTAATTTTTGGTGCTGATCAAATAATCACTTAATTATCTGCATGATCAGGATGGAGAATTGGGTGGAAAGTGTAATTTTTTTTAATATAAATTGCTTTGATATAAAAATAGGTTAATATAAATAAATTTATTTTTCATGTATTATTCATAAATTTATTTTCACATTATTATCTAATCAAAATCATCTTAAATATAAATTTCAAAATAATTAACTATTATATATTAAATGTGGGTCACTATCTTACACATAAATATTTTTAAAATTTTTAACTTCTTATCTAATTTTATTTTTTTCATTTATCATATTTATTTATGAAATAGATATTAAAATAAAGTATAAAAAATTAAAAATAATTTATGCCACAATATAAATTATATGTCTTAAATTCAAAATATAATTTATGTTTAAAATAAATTATTTATACAAATTTTTAATAATATATATATATATTCAAATATATGTATATAATTTATTATAATTTTAAATTATATATGAAAACATTTAACCTATAAAATGTACAAACTAGAATATTAGTTATAAGCACAATTAACAAACTTATTTTACATAATAATTTATAATTGAATACTAATGTAAAAAAAATATTATCAATATTTAACGATTCAACAAGTTCCTTCACTTAATTTATAAACCTATAATTCTCATACAATAGTTATATAGATAATCATGTAAATCTATACATGTATAGCATAAAAAACATAACACTAAAATTATAAATCCTCTTGAGGGGTTATATACATACCTTGTACACATATACAATCTATATCAAATTCATAATTGTATACAAAATAAATCTTATTCGTCAATCAAACGTCTATACACAATTATGCTACATCAGAGTAGCAGCAACACAAAAGAGTAATTCCCAACATAACTTGTCACCAAGCAACATGTTAATCTTATCAAATCAAGTATGATTATTTAGTTTCAACTATATGGAAAAGAAATACAAGTTTGTGAAAAGAAACAACATACAACACACAAGTAAACAACTTACAACAACATAACATGGACAATTTAATCAACATATAATCCAACTATACACATCAATTTCAACTTATAAACCACATCATCACACCAACATCTCAACAACTTATAACACCACAACAATATCATCATAATAGTTTTAAATAACCAATACGTTGCTACGCATATTAATTATGGAAATCTTTTATAATAGAGGTGAGCAATTTAAGTGGTTATACCCTACTGAATCACAACGTTTGACCCATCACAATTAGGTTAAGTACAGACAACATTTGGCCTCAAAGAGTGCCACGTTTACAACTTAAATTAGATTTTTTAGGGTTTTCCACTTAAATTATGAATCCTAATACTATTATTAGGGTAAAACATTTAGGGTATGAACCTATCACAACTTTAGCTTACAATATTAAGTATCATATTAATCATTATCATTCAATCACAAAACATCACATTTTTATCATGCAACTTGCACTCGGCACCATTATTGGATGCCTAATGTCATTGAGGTAAGGGGCTTCTTGTGTCACTCATGTTCGATATCAAACTATCTATGCTCAACGTGGTTGAGATAGAAAACCTTCCACTCTCTCGCACCTAACGTGGCAAAACCCCATGCTTAACACCAGTCAAGCAAAGAGTCTCCGTTTGATTCACATTCATCGCCACACTATTGGCATTTGATGTCAATCCAAGTAGAAATGATTCTCTCTTTTCACACTCGATGTCATCAATTATGCATCCAACATTAAGAGAATGGAAACCCTTAACTTCAAACCATGTTCGACACCATGAAGGCATATCTTATGCGATACCAGTTTTTTCACTTGTGAAGAAACTCACTATGTCCAATCTACTTGAAACTCAACAAAATTCCAACATGCAACAAGATATACCACATATATTCAACTTGTAAGACTAAAAAACAACTCCAAAAATCAACATGCAATCAAGATTCATAAGGATCATCAACCAACCTTCACAACCAACATTTCAAGACACCCCAACTTCATCAAAATTCGCATCTCAAGAATTCAATCAATCAACAACTACAGATCAAGGATTCCATGCAACAATAAATCATTATTCATCAACATTGATTCGAAATTAAGTTTCCTTTACATTTTGTCAATCTAAACTGAGGAGAGGAGAGGAAAAGAGCAGGAAAAACTCTATATGACAGTTGACTTTAAATTCTTAGCATTGCACGCTTCAACTTAGCCAAGTGATTCAATTACGAGAAAAGGAAAAATATAAGGATTTCAATCTACAAAGAGGGAGAATAAAACTTGAGCTCTAGAAAACCTCTCTCTCAAAAAATCTTATGTACCTTTTTTGGAACTAAATCAACTTAACTATGCTTAAGACTAACTTAAAAGCAACCTAACTTTCAACGTTCCCTAACCACCAAGGTTCTCAGATAACAATATTGTCAACAACTCACAATTAATCATAAATTAAAGTAATACACTCAAAACATATTGTGTTAAACAATAAATACTATTTATATTAAATTAAAATATATAATATTTTTAAAATTTTATATTGGTCAAATTTTTATAATAACTTTGTATGAATTCCTTCAATATATATATATTTTTTTATTTTTATTTTAAAGTCTAGAGATATCTACTGCATAATTAACCACGCTCAAATTGAATAAAACAGTGTGGATAACAAAGTTTTTTTCCCATATATTTAAGATTATTAATTAATAAAAAAAATTATACACTAATAAATTCATGAGATCAGTGATAATAACTTGTAGTTATTATGTATATATATTATTTTAAAATATTCCTAAACATCTTTATGTTTATAATAATATTATTTTAGTAAGTAACTTTTAATAATATTTGAATTCACATCAATTTTAATTAGATGTTATCAATGAAAATAATAATTAATTACTTTTTCCATTAATATTAATGTGACTCTTATTGATACGCAATGCATAAATGTGCAGCCAAATATATACTTAAACTTAAAAATCCTTCTAAAAATAAGGCATTCAAGCAGCAACGTAATCTAATCCCTTCCGTACACCATTATGTCAAAAATATAGATAGACAATCAAGTTGTGCTGTCACCCTCCTGCCCTCCAAATAATTTATACTAAATTATTCAAAAGCTATGAAAATTACATCGTCATTCATTTTTTAATTGTGAAATGACGTATTTTCTCAATACGCCAATGCGTGACGCCTTTACATATAAAAAGAAGACTGAATCATTTATAAAGTTTTTTTTTAATGCATGTAACTAATTATATTTTTTAATATATTTACAGTAACATGATATAATTAAAAAATGTAATTAATTGTCGATATTAAAAAAATTTATATTCATAATATATAAATAATTAACTATAAAAAGAATTAAAATTTCTTAATACATTTATGTTTTATTTGGAGAGAGGAAGGAATAGGCCATACATACTACATTTAACATTTAAGTAACATTTTATTTATATTTAATAAAATGCTAATATAGATTAAATTAACATGTAATTACAATATCTTTTTAAAAAATATTATTAATTCAGTAATTTTTTATTTTTTTTATCTTAATGTTGTTCTTTATAATTGTCTTTTAAATTTTAATTTCACATCAAATTAAAAAATGATATAAAAAATATATTTTTCTATTTGTAATTATTTTCTAAACTTAAATTTTTACATTCAATAAAAGAATTATACATGAAGAGTATATAACTTTGAAGTAAAATTTAAAATAAATGAAGTTTGATATGTGATTTAGAGTTGGTGGTGATT